TGCAGTGTAGGAGGGTTCCCCTTTCTCTGCAACCTCGCCAACAGTTGTTGTTGTTTGTGTTTTGGATGGTGGTGATCCTTACTGGTGTGAGGTGATATCTCATTGTGGTTTTAATTTGCATTTCTCTGATGACCAGCGATGTGGAGCATCATTTCATGTGTCTGTTGGTCATATGAATTTCTTCTTTGGAAAAACTGTTCAGCAACTCTTCCCATTTTTTAATTGGATTATTTGCTTTTTCTTTGTTGATTGCGTGAGTTTTTTCTATATTTTGGATGTCAAGCGTTTACCAGATCTGTCATGTATTAATATATTCTCCCATACGGTAGGATACCATTTTGTTCTATTGATGGTGGCCTTTGCTGTACAGAAGCTTTTCAGCTTGATATAGTCCCACTTGTTCATTTTTGCTTTTGTGTCCCTTGCCCGAGGAGATATGTTCATGAAGAAGTTTCTCATGTTTATGTCCAAGAGATTTTTGTCTATGTTTTTTTCTAAGAGTTTTATGGTTTCATGACTTACATTCAGGTCTTTGATCCATTTTGAATTTACTTTTGTGCATGGGGTTAGACAGTGATCCAGCTTCATTCTTTTACATGTAGCTGTCCAGTTTTGCCAGCACTATCTGTGGAAGAGTTTGTCATTTCTGCATTGTATGTCCATGGCTCCTTTATTGTATATTAATTGATCATATATGTTTGTGTTATAATCTGGGGTCTCTACTCTGTTCCACTGGTCTTTGGCTCTGTTCTTGTGCCCGTACCAAACTGTCTTGATTACTGTGGCTTTGTAGTAGAGCTTGAAGTTGGGGAACGAGATCCCCTCCCACACTTTATCCTTCCTTCTCAGTATTGCTTGGCTATTCTGGGTCTTTATTGTTTCCATATGAATTTTTGAACTATTTGTTCTAGTTCTTTGAAGAACGTTTTTGGTAATTTGATAGGGATTGCATCTAATCTGTATATAGCTTTGGGCCGGATGGCCATTTTGACAATATTAATTCTTCCTAGCCAAGAGCATGGGATGAGTTTCCATTTGTTAGTGTCCTCTTTAATTTCTCTTAAGAGTGTCTTATAGTTTTCAGGACATATGTCTTTCACTTCCTTGGTAAGGTTTATTCCTAAGTGTTTTATTATTTTTGATGCAATTGTGAATGGAATTGTTTTCCTGATTTCTCTTTCTATTAGTTCATTTTTAGGGCTGTGGCATTCTTTGGGGAAATGCCTAGAAGTGGAGTTCCTGGGTCAAATGGTATTTCTATTTTAAGCTTTTTGAGGAACCACCATATTGCTTTCCACAATGGTTGAACTAATTTACATTCCCACCAGCAGTGTAGGAGGGTTCTTGTTTTTCCACAGCCTCGCCAACATTTGTTGTTGTTTGTCTTTTGGATGGTGGCAACCCTTAATGGTGTGAGGTAATTTTTCCTTTCTTCCTGTCATTTGATTTTATACAGTGCGTAAATTCATACAGTTATGAGGAAGGAAATAAAGTAATAGTACTACTTCAGTATTGTAAATCTTATACTTGTTTTGTGTTATTTTTCATTTCCTGTTATATAGTTTCATGTGCTATGAAAAACACAGTCCTCATTTTATAAAATAATAATGCAGAATTTTGTTAAATAGATTGCTGTATAAAATTGAATAAAATCTTAAAAATGCAATCTTATTTATTTTAGATTCCAAATACTCAAATATTTGTTTGGTGTTAACCCCTTATTAGAATGTAATACTCTTTGTGATCTCGCTGTTATAACTGTGTTAAACAGTCACCCTGGAATCTAATTCTGACCTATATTCTCTTCTTTGAAATTGAAGATAATCTGAGAAACCCTGACCCAATTAGTTGACAAATTCCTAAACAAATTCTTTTGATGTATCGGGCACTTGAACAGCCATGTGGATGTATATTCAAGTGCAAAATAGTCCCCTTGTAGATAACAAAACACACCAGACAGGTGGATGAATTTTTTGTTTTGCTAATTAGTATGTCTCTATAACTTGTCATTTTATGTTGATTTCTGTAAAACTAGACTGTCAGCAATCATACATGAAAGAGGCACCAGGAATTTGGAAGGAAGCTAGAAGCAGTAAACCTGGTGGCAGTGGGGTATGTAGGACACGGCAACAAAAATGTTGGTACCAGCTCTAATTCAAAGAAACAGTGATTTCATTTGGCTGCTGTGGCTGGTTTCTGAGCACTGCTTCTTCAGTGCTAGAACAGGGGTGTGCAGTTGCCATGGCATCCTACAGCTAGGCAGATGTGTTACTACTCTTGTACTTGGGTCTCTTGCATTCTGTGTGCAAACCCTGACATTTCTGTGTGGCCGAGGAAATTGCTTGGCTCGGTGATGTGCTGGAGGGCGGTCAAGATGCTGATGCCAGCGTTCTTATTCATGGAGCTGAAG